GCCAGGATCCCATTGGCCTTCTTGGCCACGAGGGCACACTGCTCACTCATGGTTAACTTGGTGTCAACCAGGACTCCCAGGTCCCTCTCCGTGGAGSTGCTTTCCAGCTTTTCCCCTATCCCCTCGTCACTTTAAACCCAAACGCAACCTTCCCTGCTCCCAAAATTCTGGCAGCATCATGGAGGGACACCCGCTTGCCAGCAAAGAACATTACGGAGGAACAAAGTCCATTTCCTGGGAAATTTAAAGAAAAAGAAAACCTCTCCCCACAGAAGRGACCTGTCTATAGCAAGATTTGGTTATGGTTGTGTTTCTACCTCTTTTTTTTCATTCCATCTCCATTAGTCACTAGCATTGGGAGGAAGACTAGAGCTGAAGGGTCATAGTAAAGCCAAAATAAAGCAACTCTCAGAGGCTTAGTTGGCATAACAGCCCTTAGTCATGAAGCCAGTAAAAAGCTGTGAAAAAAATATTGTCCTTTGGACTCATGCACTTCTTTAGAGAATGGGCACGTGTGGTTTTACCTGATGCCATCCCGTAAATGCTGCTTTTCACATTCGCCTCCTGCTAACGTTGTGCTCCCCTCCCTCGACTCTCCTGCCCCATCCTTCATTCTCCAGAAAGCTGAGGATGACTGAGGAGTGGTTGTTTTTCTAAATATATATATATATATTTGACCCATCCCTTTAAATAAACAGGTTCCAAACCAAATGCCTCTCRCTTTATATATAGCATAGCAAGGCTTTCAATTGAAGTTATGGATACTGACAGAAAACCATAAACATAATTACAGAGGAAATATGATGCATAGACGGATCATGGCTTTCGTTTACCCTTTTAATTATCTCGGACAGTTAATAAATTCATTTGAAAACATGAATGTTCTACAGTGTTTGGTCCTTTGAGAGGTATAGGCCCAAGTCTGCAAATCTGGGCTCCATGAGAAGACTATTCATAGGAGAAGCATTTTGGGAGAAGTACCTTAAGAGTTGGGCAGACGTCAATGAAAAATAAACACAATTTGGTCTATAGTGTCACTGGGCATAGGTCCCTGCTCCTAGTTAAGCCAAAGGGAGAAATAATCATTGAATTGAAAGGTATAGGGCTAGTACTTTTTAAAACACCCTTTAGACATGGAAAGCTTTTCCCTTTCTCATATGCATCTTCTCTGGAGTGCATCTTCTTAAGAAGATGCATGATGTAACTCAAGAAGGCATCACAAAAGGACTGCTCATCAAAATGAGAACATCTGCCCCAAATTGTCTCCTCTGCTTTCTTGTAAAGAAACTCCCAATTTAATGCTAAACCCCTTAGCCTTCCCTCTCTAACCTTCTGGCAGTCAAGGCCAGGGAGCCTCACGTTGTCCCTCTGAACTCCAGTTCATGGCTGCAGTTTGAGTGAGAAAAGGGAACTACCTTCAGCTTTGAGACCACAAGTAGTGAGAAAACCATCATATCCACTAGGAAGTTGTCCCAGAGACTGAGTGAATGCCCAAAAGCCTTTTCAGACAGAGAAGTGGGATTTATATAGTGATAAATWAATTAATTAATTAAATTAAAAGGAAGAAGGAGGAAAAAAAAGGAGGCAGGGAGGAAGCAAGAAAGGAGAGGGAGAAAAAAGCCCTGAAGTAAAATCTTAAAATAAGAGTTGCTTTCAGATACGGTGCCAAATCCAGCACTGGCAGCAGTGGGCACGAGGCCATTGACTTCCACGCCAAGCTCTTTGTGGAGCTGATGCCAGCTGCGAGCTGGCTCTCCGACTGCTGTAGAAGGCCACAGAGCTTTGTCCAATTTTCTTGAGCTGCCTATGGAGTCAGAGGGAAGGGCACACTTCAAAGCAGTGTCCTACCACCACCACCGCCACCCCTCCTGTGGTCCTCTCAGGGCAGCTCATCATGCAGTCCCCTTGCCAGGCAGACTTGTCTCCTTGCAGGCGCCTGTGTCCCGTCGTCCTGGCCCCATCTCATCCTAAAGAGAGGCACTACTGACTGCACAAAATGTTTCCTTTTTTTCCTTTTCCCTTTTCTTTTGAAAACAAGTCGCCTGAAGCTGAGGGAGCAAAGTGCTGGCTTCACAAAGGACTTGATACTACAAGCAGGCTTGAGGTCAGTGAGCTGGTAGAGATCCCAGGATCACTAAACTGGACAGCATAGTTAGCATTTGCTTCCAAAGGGTTATTCCTGATGCAAAACTGACCTCATTATTGGGCATAGCTTGAAGAAGGATCCAAAAAGAGTGTTCAGGCAGGGATGGCCCCAGAGGGCTTGGGAAATACCCAAGCCACCACACCAGGGACAAGTGGAGACTGCCCCAAAATGACGCAGCCCCACCTCAAAATGTTTCTATACTTATTGCCCCAACTTGTTGTCAAAATTGATCTTGCCCTGAGTCTGAAGCTATACAAAAAGCCACGGCTCAGTTAGGCCTTTTGCAACTTCTTTGCATTGAAGGTGAAACCTCTTTGTATTTGTCAGGTCTTGCATTGAGAATGAAAAATGCAAACTGAAACTCCTCTACCTTGATGCCTGTGCAGAGGAGAGGCACCCTGGGAGGTGTAAATGCCTCTAAAACCCATGCATGCCCAGAAGTCCCATCATGGAGAGGAGCAATGTTCATCTGAATGGAGCTCCCTCTAGTGCTCACCAATTTCTCAGCACTGTTGTGAAGTCAACCCAGCATGGCCAAACCCAAGCAAATCTGGGTTGCTAAAAGGCCAAGGATGAAGGAGATGGGTAAAGCAAGAGAGCCCCTACACACTCCAGCTCTGAGACATCTCCCATTGGAACTGATAGTGACGCCTGCACTTTTAATCCACTCTGTTGTGACCAGAAGCACAAAACTGAGTGGAGAAGATCCACTCTCTGGGTGGTGATATTGTTGGCAAAAAGCAGCTTACAAAAAGTGTCAGACTCAGGAGCATTGTATGCATTGAATAGGAAAACTGCCCTGATCCAGTAAACCCTCTCTCTGCTCCTGTGACTTTATACCTGCATAACTCCCTGGAGTTTGAATAGTAGAAGTCAAAAAAAAATGATATTTGTGAGACGTGGACCTTCCATGCACCACACGGGATGCTCGGCAGCRCTGTGGGGAAGGGAATGGTGCCGACTTACAACAGCTGGGGATCTGGGCCACAGAACTCATAAAAAATAAGCCAAATAAAATAAAACAAATAGCTGCATTTTATGCTCTCGCTGTTTGTACTAATTTATGGGGGATACTCGCTTTACAGGGAAGTCCCAAATAGCTGAAAGCAGTGTTTCTTTCTTCACCCTCCTCTTCCCCTGCAATTACGTCACTCATTCAATCAAAATTGCATTTCCTATCACCCCACATATCAGCAGCTCCTGCCCCTGCTTCCAAACACAACCCACCAGGCTTTCTGCTCTGGTTCTCTCTATGCTCAGAAGGGACCTCTAAACATCTGGCAAAACCTCCTTTTTTTTTTCCCCCCCATTTTTTTTTTCTCTTCCCCCTCCTATTCCTCCTTGAAGATCCCCCTGAGCACCATGCAACTGCCCAACGAGACAAACTCATCCCAAAAGTGCTCCATTCTTTTCCTCCCTTGCATTTTCCTGATTTGGATTTTCCTTTTATTCCCCTCTCCCTAYGAGACTTGCAGGTCAACTACACATGGAAGGAACAGGGATTTTTTAGCATAGTGCCTAGCACAAGGGAGTCCTGGGCTGTGACTGCAGCTCCAAGGCAACAGGAACAGTTTGCCAAGGATGTTTTTTCTCCATTCCAGGAATGGACCCATAGCCCACATGCTGGGAGCAACTTAAATCTGGTGCAACCCTGTGGGTGCTATGTTTGGTGCAACCTCATAGATGATAAATCTGGTGCAACTTCATGGATGTACGAGGAGAAATATAGCAAGAGGGGGGAAAAATGGCCTATGGATTCATAGGAAAACATGGATGAAGAAGGAAGGAGAGCTAGAGAATGCAGAAAATGGTGCAAAATCCCAGCTGGCAGCACACTACTTAGGAAAAGTGCTCTCGAACAAGGAGCGTGGCTTTCCACCAGGTTCTCAACAGGTGCGAGCGGAGCCCAGCAGGGCATCTGGATGTCATTCATACTTCGAATACCACTTTAATCTGAGCTTTCATCTTCCCTGGTCCGTTTGTGATAGCGGGATACGTCTGCTGGGYAGGGGAGGAGAAGCAACTGTCCTCCTCTCCCTCCTGGAGAGAAAATTCCTCACCCCTTAACCACTTTGAGGCCAAAAGGCAGCTTTTAGCTGGCAAAGCTAAGAGGAACCTAGACCTTTCCTCATGTCTATGTCTTACACATTGCAATCAGACTGTCTCTGATGCAATCCAGGTCCTGCCTTGTGGAGGAGCTTGTCCCAGCAACGTTGCATGTCCTCTACTCAGTGTCACGCCACCCCTCAAGCAACAAGCCTCAAGAAAGTTGGCTGAAAGGAAAAGTCAGTATTTCAGGCAAGGAGCTGAAGGCAAAAGCCAGTTACTGGGCAGGAGGATACAACTTAGCTGTAATAGCTCCTAGAGGGTGTAATGGTAATAAAGGAAAGAGTAAATCAGATCACAGCTCTCCTCTGCTTTCAAGGTGGCCCTTGTAATACAGACACACCATATGAAAAATGTCCTACAGTAATTTACAGCTGCTTTTCATAACCTCATGTATTTAAACACTCTCCATTTCTCAGGATGCTCACAGAGGTTGGATGCCTGGTCTCAGCTGGCATCTCCAGAGGACATCCCTGGATCTCATGTTGTCTATCTTTGGAGAAGGGGAATGACCATGTGGAAGTCTCTCTCTACTGACCACATACAAGACCATGAAGCAATTGGCTCAGGCAAGACATCCAACTTTTAGTCTTCCAAAAATGAGAGAGAAATCCCACCTCTATAATTGGTGGTGCAAACATAGCCTTGAATGACCACAATTAGGACGCTAAAGTGGCGATTGGATGTTCTACGGGGTATGTGGCAGAAGAAAGTAACAAAATAGGAACTTTTTGTCTCCTTTTCCCAGCCTACTGCCAAGATGCCAAGATCTTCACCTCGAAGCATTCGGTTCTAATGCAACAGACTCATCCTGGCGTCACATTTTACTTTTCCTTCCCTTTTGTGAAAGATGCTCATTTGGGGCTCACCCACATCCTGTTGCTTATTTTGGGCCTGACTTCAAACCAAAGTAGCAGAGACACATCACTCATCAAGGACTTGAGACCAGAGGGGGGATGGAGGGGGTGCTTGCCTGTTTATTTTGCAGTGAGCAACTAATTGATTGCTTGCTTAGAGCCAAGAAATAAGTCAGCGATGGTTTCACTGTGTTTGCAAATGCTGCAGTGACATTACCTCCAAGGAAACTCAATCCAGACTTGCCCACACTCCCTGCCATTTCTTCACTCTCCTCCCTCCCCTCCTGCCTCTTTTTTTTTTTTTAACACCCTTCACCAAATCCAAAGGTTAAAAGGTCCACAAAAAAAACATGTTATCTGTCAAGCATCCCCTCCGCCCGGAGATTGGCRGCGTTATCTTAACAGCGGTCTCTATAGCTCTCAGCTGGCACTCGGCATGATCCGTGCTCCCGGTGGGAGAGTTTCCCAGCGTGGTGGGAGCAAGCGTTGGAAACTTCATTAAGTGGCTCATGGGAGCGTTCAAGTGTGTGCCTTTCCCTTGGTAGCGATGAAAGGAAGAGAAAACAAGCCTGGATCATGCATATTTTGGATAGGAGGTGGAGGCATGCTGTTAGCACAAGCTCCTGGTGCACACACTTGAAACCAGTGAATGCTGGCGCTGAAAGTTGCATAAATTTGCAACCAAGCAGCGGTGACTACAAAGAAAAGGCAGAGAGATAGGCAGGGGTACTTACATCCATTTTATTCCATAGCAAATCCCCATCTGCAGGATAAAGGAGAGAAGAGCAGCTAGCAAAAATTGCAGGCTCAGCTTCATTTTTTTCTGCGCCGTCACCCACTTTCCAAAAGCTTCTTTTTTTTCCAAGGGAGAAAATAATTTAAAAAAACACAGAAAGTCGTTTCTCCTGCTTTCCCGGGCGAGCTCCTCCAGTGCGGATGCGGCTGCTCCGTGGGGATGAGCAACCTGGAAGCAGAGAGAGACGCGGCCGCTGTGAGCGCCGGGGAGATCTGCCCCGCGGACGGCGAAGGAGGTGACTATGAATCACACCAAAAAGTTTGGGTCCCCCCCCCCCGCTCGCGGCTCCCTCTGACAGACCCCGCAGAGTCGACAGACAGACGCGACGTATGGCTTGCATTACGCCCTGAGTTATGGCCTGATTGCGCGTTTCCATTTAACCCTGCCTACGGCACGGCTTCATTTGCCCCTTTGCTGCATTTCCCCCCTCCTCTCCTCTTCCTCAAACAAAAAAAAAAAA